CCTTATTAACTGAGTTTAATATTATTAATTCATCTCTTGGTTTGTAGATGGGACACTTCTCAATGACGTGCAACATCGTTTGTATCTTTCCACAAGTGCACAATGGGTTAGCAGTAAGGCCCCATCATTGACGCTGCTATTAGACTGAGGGAATGGATAGGAGCCTTCTGTGTGTTAGCAAAGCAGTGGAGCTTATGTTGCTTGCACAGATAGGTAGCAGTGGATGCTCTAACCCTCAACTGATACCTTTGGCAAGCACAGCATCACAAAATCTTCAAAAATAGAAAATGATGGAAACTCCAGTGCACTGCATTAGAAAGCTTGTCTGAGTCCATCCTAACTGCACAGTTGGTCCCCTGAAAGCTATCATCCACAAAACTCCTTCCCTCTTGCATTTTTTCTTAAGTAAAACATTAAAGTTATTTTTATTAGCCAAGTTTTAACTTAAAGGTCTAATTTTCTGCATTTCTAATTGAATTCCTGTTTCCATTAAAAAGAGCTTAGCACAAGTCATGAATAAAATAATTAACCACTAAAAAAGTGTCATTCAACATATTCTAACATAAAATGTAAAAATTTAGAATATGAATAAATGTGTGTTAAATTACATATGTGCTTTACTGTCAATATTATTATTATACATGCTCCTGGATAGCAAAAAGAAGTACCTAGATGCAAATCAAGATGTGCTAATGGTTACTAACCAAAGGCAATTGGCTTTTAGGAGAATACCGTAACCAAGAAGTACAGATGAACAAACAGAATCAAAACTGATGATGTAATGGGTTTCTGTTTGCTGATTTAAATTGATTGGAGTCGGGAATTTCAGTTGGTTTGATTTAAATCAGTCCATCTTGGAATGAACTCATTTTTTGTATTTCTTTAATTTATTATTTACGTATTGCCATGTGTCCAAACATCTGATGAATGGTTAAAGAACTGCAGCTACCCTAGAAAACTGACTCTCCAACCATGCAAATAGCGTCCGTTGATCAATTTGCAGATCATGGTTCCAGTAATTGGACATGCCTGTAAAAATCATGCAACTATGTCTTGTGCCTTGTGTCAGGGATGTACCTTGTGTTGTCCCTAGGAAAGTCACCCAGATTTGGCCAAGATATGCACATGCTGAGTAGGAATTTTTTTCTTCATTTTTATCCCGTAAACCATTTAAAGATTCTACCATCGTAGACTGTCTAATTGCCGGGTGCATGGGCTGGGCTGTGGGTGGGCGGGGAGCCCCATTGCAGGACAGTGCAAGTATCACACCCTTTAGCCCATGGCTACAAAAGTGAATCTGAGCTTTACCTATAGTGGGTGTTTCTAGATGGGATGGGGATGGGCACTGGAACAGTGAGCAGGGACCCTGTATTGATCAGCATGGAGGAGGAATCTGTCTGATTTATGTTTAGAGAAGAGAAGTGCTGTGGGAGAAGGATAGATTTTTGGCTGTTTGAACAAGAAAACTGGAACTAGGAACCAGTGGAAGAACAGGAATGAGGGAACTGAAGATGCATTTGGTGCAAAGGGATCAGGTTGGGCAGAGAGACTGAGGAGTATGGGGAGATTGTGGAGGGCTTGACAGAGCATAGAAAGGAGCCTGGGTGTGAGATGTGTGGGGACAGTGGGTGAGAGGCAGGGAGGGCTGGGGAAAATAGGTAACCAAAGAGTTGGGGCGGACTAGGCTAGGGTAAGGAGAAGGGAGATTGGGACTTGGCAGTTGTGAAGACAGAGTCTAGGAGTGGCTACAGAGAGCAACAGACATTTGTATGAGAAGCCTGGAGAGTGACCCAGGTTGGAAAAGGGTATGTCTGATGGAGCATACTCATCTCCAGAATCAGGATCTCACCATCAGGATCTTGCCACCAGATATTTGTAAACTCCTTTTACCTCGTATCTGATCCTTTGCTAGTTCTGGTCCACATGAAAGGTGCTATGCAACTGTTTTTGTCATTCACTTTCTTAGCTTGAGTAGTAGAGGTCCATGTAGTAGATTTAGAGGTTTTAACCTGGCTAATGACCAACATGGTTTTCAATATGCTGCTCACGACGGATTTTTTTTTCCAATTTGCTTAGTTAAAAAACCTAAACAACTGAACACACAAACTAATCTGAACTATTGTTTGCAAAGTCAAGCACTTAGAAATTAGGCAGTGACCCACTAGTGCATATGCATTATGATACAGTCTTTAATTACACAGACATCTACTGTTTTTTCTGCACAACCCAACTCCTTCTGTACCCAGGATGAATGGTATTCTGGGGATGAATCAAGTCTCTAAAGTAAAGCAAACTTGTCTGTAGTATCACTGCCACATGTATTACAAGAGTGGGGAGTACAGAATGAATGAGGGTAGGAATTGCTGGAAGAGGGGATGGTCTCACAGTTAAGGCCACTGAAGTGTGCCTTGAATGTTTTGATTCTGGCTCTTTCACATACTTCCTATGTGATGCTGGCAAATCAGTTGACCCAAACTTTCACACTTTTCACTAATTGTAGCCTATTTGTTGTTTGAACGCTTGCTTTAAGACTACCTGTGCAGCAGTGCTGTGCTCTCAGATCTACAAATGACTGGTGTAGGAGCTGTGCTTTGTACATGTAAAGCACTATATGACGCTATAAGCTCAGAAACATATCTTAGGCATCTCAGATTGGGTACCTGAAATTAGTGGACACTGAACACTTTGACAGTCGCTTTTGTTTAATTTCTTATCTAAACTACAGGTATTAATGCTAAGTCCTTTCCCAGGGATGTTGTGAAAATAAAATGTGAGACACTTGGGTGCCATAGTAATGAAAAGCCCATGAGGAATTAATACTTGTCTTCAGAAAAGGTTTAAGTACCCTACAGCAGTGGCTAGAACTTAATAATGAGGCAAAAACAAGATACCTCTAGTATATCTCGGTTAATGAGCTGTTGTGTGAATAGAATGCGACATGGGACCTGTGGAGAAAAGGATGGAATGATGTCCTTGGGGTGTATGGTAATGTGTATGTACAGTGGAAACAAATTATCATTACATAAGTAGCCTTAATTCTGGTATTTCTTAAGTTTTGAGTGCTTAACTGTGCAACCCATGTATTTTAGCACACTTTTTGTCATATGCATTTAATGCTTATATATGCCTCTTGGTCTATAGATACGTATATTTAAATTTTAACCAAAAGGGTAGATAGAGCTCAAATAGGTATAGAAACTAAAATAACACAAATTATTAGGAAATTATTTGCTTAAACAGATTTTTCAGTAGTTAGTGATGCGGGATCAGGTTTAATTTCAATGTATAAAACATACCACAATTCAGAGTGCATATAAAGAGAATGTGTTTAATTGAAATCCAAAAGATGATAAAAATTAATAATGCTGTTATCATAATCAGTTGAGTATTTTAGGGTTCAAAACATTCTACTTGAGTACTTCATATGTGGTTTAAAATTATGTTAAATTCACCCAACTTTTCTGTCTGTTCACTTATATTATATTAGGGACCTACTTAAATCACAATTTTTGTGGAAACAGTGAAAAGCACCAGTTTCCATGAATTTGTGTGGAATCCCTTAGGAGTGGGGGGAAACTTACTAAAAATAAAATGCTGGCTCCCCAATAGAAGCCAGGAACTGCTGCATCCCAGCCTTGCAGCCCCCCAGGGAGGGGGAGAGGGGTAGCAGAAGCTGTCTCACAAAGGGGAGCAGCCAAGATGTCGGCCACCCCATTTCCCTCTGCCTCTGACTGGCCAAGAAGGCTGTCTTTCATGTGACCCTGCCCCTCTCTGCCAATCAGTGAAAGGCAGCCCTCAGCCAATCAGCTGCAAGGGGTGGGTCCACCAGGGCACCTCAGCCTATCAGAGGCTGGAGGTGGGGACTGCTGGAATAAGCTTCTCACAACCAGCCCATGGAATTGCCTGTCTGCCACCTTGACTTGGGCACGTTCCTAGTAATAAAGCACTAGCTCTGCTATAATTAAGGAATGTTTTAGTATTAAAACAAATATCTTATAAGAAGCAGTGCTGAGATGCCCATATGAAAATGAAGAAAATTTTTACTGTCACAGTTTTTACCAATATAAATAGTGCATCTCATCCAAAAAATTCAAAACACTACAAATGATGGCAAGTACCCCAAGGACAGAGGTTTGATGAAAATATGTTATCATAACAACCATCCTTTTGTGAATAATAAGTAAGCTTCACTATTTTAGAACTTAAAATTGACAATGTTAATTGTTGTGTTCATGCTGCCTATCAACTTGAAAAAAATTCTTGATTTGCTTAAATTATAGAATCAGATAAAAGTAGGGCTAGAAGGGACCTCAGTAAGTAATCAAGTCGGGCCCTCTAATCAAGGTAGGATCATCCTATCTAACCCATCCTAATTATACAAGTCTAGCATATTCCACACACAACTGTATGAACAGACACACAGCTACTAGACACAGTGTCCCATAACATCAAAAACACTGCAGTTTACCCCAGGTGAAGGGGTGTGAGTCTATACCTATTTGAGCTCTGAAGACATCATGTCTTACCCCTGGAAGGACAGAAAGTAGTTGAATACACTTGAGAGATCCGGGGAAGAGAACCAAACTCCCTGCTACAGAGGAAGGCAACATTTTCGATAGTTTATGCCAGTTTGACCATGGGGTAAAATTTCTTGACTTCAAATGTGGTGATCAGTCTGACCCTGAGCAAAGGGGCAATACTCTTTAGCTAGGAAACTTTATACTTAAATCCCTGCAGAAGCATCAGCAGACCCTGTCAAAATCCCTAGTTTTGCCTACAGCCAACACCCAATGTTTTTGACAAAGAAACTATCCCTGCCCCTCCCCCCCAAAAAGAACCCTAACATCTGTAGTAAACAGGGGGAGAGAATGGGCTATGTGTACTCCCTTTCAGAAACAGATTTTTTTTTTCAGTAAGAAATATTGTACATGAAGTGTTTTGTGTATACAGCAGAATGCATTAATTTATTTCTCGCTTTGTTTTGTCATCTTCAAGGCTTATATGAATCCAATAGCTATGGCTAGAGCACGAGGTCCCGCCCAAACTTCTGGGCCAACAATACAGGACTACCTGAACAGGCCAAGGCCAACATGGTAAGTGTGGAAATACCAGTTTTCTCCTTCTACCAAACCATCTGTTTGATGAAAGGTTGTCCTCTCTTAAGGCAGTACAGGGCCCTCTTCCCTAGCACGTGCTAATGTTTTAAAAAGTTGTTTTTGTTTGTAGCCAAAATATTCCTTTCTAAATATGTTCTAATTTTTATATTTTTTAAAAATGACAGTTTCTAAAAATGATAATTTTTTAATATTAGATGGCAGCCCTTCAGCTTCTCCAAAGACTAGTCCTTAAAATCTTGTAGCAGCAGTTTCTGTGAAATGTTAAAATGTTGCTCTGTTTTTTCCAAAGCTGCTAATACCTGAATGTTACTTACATACTTGATTTCTATGCTGCCCTCCCCAGAAAAGCTCATGGTAGCTTACAATAATACAGTTATAAAAACAAATAAAATAATAGAACAGTAATAAAATGGTTTTCAAAACAAAATAATTACCTGGAGCTTAACCCCACCTGCTAAAAGCTTGGCCAAATAAAAAGATATTGCACTACTTCTAAAAGATGGCCATGGTCAGTCTCTGGCAGGCCTCCAGGGGAAGGGAGTTCCAGAGCTGAGGAGGTACAACCAAGAACAACTTCCCACGAGTTTTGGCTAAGTGAACTTGGTACACAGATGGTACTTACAGGAGGTTGTTTTTGGCTGACCTTAGCAATTGTGATGGAGCATAAGGGAGGAGGCGGCCCCTTAGATACAAAGGACGTGAGCCATTTAGGGCTTTATAGATACATTTATATATATTTTTGGTATTAATTTCTAAACAAGATCACATCTAGGAAAAAAGCTTGTTGGGTACATTTTAGAATGGAATTGACCTTACACAACTGTTTTAGCTGGAGCTATAACATATTTTAAAATGAGTTGCCGAAATTATCTGGTGTTCAATCTATTTCATTTGGCAACATTACAAACTCCAAGCACAGTTATTTAGTACCAATGTTAGATTTAGATCTTGCAGAGAGATTAATCTGCACTGTGTAGAATTTTAGATACTTCGTAATCTGTAACTGGTAACCTATATTTCTCTTTTCCCCTTCATGGGAATTTTTTTTAGCTGTATATATATTTGCATCAAGGTGTATAAATCTGGTTACTCTTGTTTCTAAAAAGGGAAGAAGTAAAAGAACAACTAGAAAAGAAAAAAAAAGGATCAAGGGCATTAGCTGAGTTTGAAGAAAAGATGAATGAGGTTTGTGAATTTGATTTATTTGATGTTAGTGGATTATCTGGAAAAATTACAAGAATGCTTTCTTTTCCACTATCATTCAGATGATGAAACCCATGTTTGTTCATCTAGGGATATGTACATGTGACTAGGAATACTTAATAAGTTAACTTTCTGTTGCAAAATGTTTGAATTGGTTAAAGAAAGAAACCCCTTCCATCCCATTTCCAGTGCAGGGTTGTTTTTCATAGTTTATGCTTGGACAAATCCTGGCCAAACTTGTTTTTAAAAAAGGTCCCACTGACAAGTATTGAAGTTTTTTAATACCCTTTCTGACTGTGAGAGTGGGCAAGCATTGGAATAGGCTGTCTAGAGAAACTGTGAAATCTCCATTCCTGGAAATTTTTAAGAGCAGGTTAGACAGACACTTGACTTGGTATAGTTTAGTAAGGGATGATCTTGCCTTGAGCATGGGGCTGTTCTGGATGACCTCCTGAGGTCCCTTCCACTAGAACTTTCCTATGTTCTAGTGATCCTGTTCTTGTAATCTCAAACATACAGTTTATCTCATAGGTGGGCAAAATACGGCCTGCTGGCTGTATCCAGCTCGCGAGGCCATTCTACCTGGCCTGCAGAGCCCCTAAAAAATTAAGAAAATTAATATTTATCTGCCTTTGGTTCCTGTCAAAAATGACAGGAACCAAGGGCAGTAGGACCCAGGGGAAGCCTGGCAGGCTCCCACAACAGCAGGGTCCCCCTGGCCCTGCCGCGCCCCCTCCCCCCAAGCCGGAAGCCCCAGTAGGGGCTTCTGGCCTGGGACCACATGGCTGCTCTGCACCGGAACTGCAGGGAAGGGGGAGTAGCGGGGGGGAAGGCAGGGGAGGACCCCGGGCAGGGAAGAAGCCCGGGAAAAAGTGGCCCGGGGAAAAGCTTAGTGCGGGCAGGGGAAAAGCGGCCCTGTGGCCAACACCCAGCGCTGCAGCTGCTCGCAGCCTGCATGGGGCTACCTGTGCCGCTCCAGACCGCCCCATACAGGCTCCCAGTGGCCGCAGTATGGGGCACCGGAAGGGGCGCT